GATATCTAATTGGGACAAGATATTATTTATCTACTATATCAATCAGTACGATATGTAAGTTGTCACAATATTACATCGTTGATAAACTTTATGATTATGTAAAAAGTACTATCTAATYGCTAAATAATATAAGATATTCACAAGATAGAAAATTTTAATTTATTATACGATATTTGTAAATTTGTAATACATATTATGTTAGATAGATATTACCATCTCAATATAGCAATACAATAATTTAAATTATCTAAMTAAATTCCATAGTCGGTATAATGTTATTTAGTAATGAAAGTGAAATGTCCAATTGCAAATTCGTTTAATACACTCGAAACTTAATATGTAATATTATATTTATATAAATAGGTATTGTGGCTTTCTTGAGTTTTGCTAATGTGGTTAATTCTTAATGTGCCGATAGAGTAGTATTCCTRTCGAGAAAATGCAATGCCTGAAGGAACGATGATGGTAAGAAACGAACCAGTTTAAAGGATATAATATTGAGAAACCGGACGTCTGCGCTTAAAAAAAAATACAGTAAATAATACATGGTCATCATTTGGATTAAGTTAATTTCGTTAACAAATAACTCGATAGATTATGTATACTTGTTCCATCACCATTTTGTAGCTAGAAGTAAAACCATAAGAACATTAAATATTTTATATATATTAGCTTAGTAGTTATGTAAATACTCAATACTAAATAAGTAGGTAGAATATGTAGAATTATTTATCCGAATCACAAYAAAATAAAGAATGACACTAAAAATATATCACCTTAATGTCAATAACTGTAAGTTATTATTGTGGAACGTCTTTAGATTTCTCTAATAATAATATTTAAAAACTATATTGTGTCAAGTGTAATTTATACTAAAATAATAATATTATTATTATATATTATTTCAAAAATCAGGTTGGGAGCTGATTTAGTGTGGCCTTTTAAAATGCTGCTGCAGTATTGATATTAGTTAAACTAAAACACAATAATTCTTATAGATAAATTATTTTACGTATATATYGTCTTAAATACAATATATTATAATATTTAATATGATTTTTTAATTCTTATATTTTTGATAAATGCTGTAGTTTCATTTTAATATATCGAAGTATATAAAATAATAGTTACGGCAATTTTCTTGAAACGGCGCGGCGTACATAAGTGAATTTATAATATGTACTGCCTACAATAACTGTTTTGTAAGTTTGTATATTATAAATTATAATACAAAAATGCAGGCAAAACTGCAAAAAAAATATATAAACACCGTATAAATATAKTAAATTTGTTGATGTAAATAACAACCTAATGTAACCCAAAATGCAACCATGCAACCCAATGGTCTATGTTGCCGAGGGTAATTAAATACAAAATACAAAAGGAATTTAAAGTAATAGCAAAAGTGTATAATATTAACCATGTTTGTCTTGTGTCCTTATCATATTAATATATTATTATGTGCCTATATATCATAACTACGTGAAAAAATACAATCGTAGGTATCTTGTGTGCATTGTAAGTTATTTTTAATCTATATATTGTAAAAAGGCACATAAATAAGAGCCAAGAGGTACCTATTATGTATTGGTATATAAATACTATAAGAGATTGCAGGAAAAGTTTATCATTTCGCCATTTCCCTTCCAAAGTTTCAAACATGTTATTCATATTTGTGCTACCTTCAGTATAGCAAATTTTTAATTTCAGTAGATTTAAAGAAATTAGCAGTTAAAGAATATACAATATATCACGATATTCATAGCAGGGGCGTATTCAGTTCTTCTTCCGGGGGAGGCGAAATTTGAACTTAAATCATAGGTTCTTATAAAAAAATTTATGTCTAATAAGGTTGCAGAGTGCGGACCATTAAAAAAAAAAAATAATAGAATCTTGTAAGTTGTAGACGATCACAATTAATATTTATTATAGACATACTGCCACAGATACTACTAAAATAATAATTATTGTATAAGTATATCTGTGATTATAGCCACAATATCTCTAATCTTTTAATTTTAATCAATCTTAATTTCATTCTTAATTTATTACAGGTTTTTGATAACCATTATCCATTTATTCCATTTCCATTAAGAAAAAAATATGCACTGTATTTTTAATTTTTTAATATAATATTATAATAAAATATGTAAGCACCTATACATGAAACACATTCAACAATGTCCAGGGGGGGGAGATCGCCGCTATCGCCCCCCCCTTGTATACGCTCCTGATTCATGGAAATATAAGTACTTTTCTATAATATATAATAGTACAATAATACATTTGATTATATTTATAAAATATCTCTTCAACTTGTACAACAATATTATGTATTAAATAAGTTTATTATAATACAGCAGTATTTTTTATAAATCAAAAATATTTTGAAGTATTAAATACATTTTTTAAAACACATTTGTCAATAAAATAAATAAATAATAAAATTTCGCCAGTTGAATTTCTTTACCCAGTAATGATTGTTATAATATTAATTATTTGTATGGGTACTACATTGATAAATATTTGTATATTTTTGCAATTTTATTATGAATTTGAAAAAAAATTAATCAAATGACACGCACATAATATGTTCTTGAAAAAATTCATGTGGAGAAAGTGACGAGTTTAAAACCAGTTTCAAAATTACAATAAAAACACTTTATACATTTTCGAAAAARATCAAAAATTGTACTATTGATTAATAATCTGTAGCTGATTTACAATATCATGTAGGTATTAACTATTATTACATGGATATGCCTTGTACGTCTTGTTTTTACCATCGATTTTTGGTAATATAATCAAACCGCAAAAACCTGTAACATCGTTTATGGCTAAGAAGAGCAGGGGAAAGGTTGTGCTCTATCGCTCAAGAAATTGAAGGGAATTGTAATAGAACCTTGTCGATAAGACGTAGAAATAAAAGTAAGAAAGTAACTGAACAAAACACTTGAATGTGTAGTTTYGACGAATACCTGTAAAGTATTAATATAATATTATCATTTCTAGTTTTAGTGTTATCGAAAATGCATGAAATTTTTTATACTGTATAAATCATAATARTCACAATAAATTGTGATCTCACCATATATTTATAGTAGTTCCAAATTGTATTATTATCTTAAATTTTTAARAATTTTACAGATGACACCAAAATAAAAAGACAGTTTACATAGKTAATATACAATAGCATAAGGTCAAAATATTCTAAAAATGTTTTATTTTTAGTTWAATTAAAATGTTTATGATAATATTCTTAGTTGGGGTTTATTGAACCTATATAGTAATATAAATGTATTAAGTATATTTACTAAGCTAAATACAAATAACAACCACAATTCGAAATTCCAATTTTAATTTATTGTTTAGTGCACTGCGAAAATTGTTAATACAAAAATGTAAAATTCCGATTTGTACAGTTACACACATATTACTATAGATCAGTTAAATAATGTATACGTTATAAATTAAATAAATGATTTTAACAACTCGATATATTRATAATTTACTATATAGTAATACTTATCAGTTTATCACTTTATTACGATGTGAAATTGTGAACTGTTAATTCGAGTAAAATATAGTATAATGATGGTTGTCTGGTGCCTATCTACTTTTATCTTAATATTTTTGATTATTATTATCTATGACTTATGTACTATTGATACATATTTTTATAAATCATATAATAGGATACCTTATTATCAACTTAGTTAACCATTTCATTATCAATAAGAGACTTTAAAAAAAAATTAAGGTATGATATTAAAAATTGTATGTTGATGAGGACATTGATATTCAACTGTTTAACATCTATGGATGAAGCMAATCGACATTTAACAATAAATTTAACTATATATTACCATGCGTGTATTTCATGCTTATTATTTGTTTAGAAAACAAAGTACACTTTTGAGCTCATATATAAATATTACGACTTATTATAAATCGGTTCTTTTTATACCGGTCTCGGTGTTTCAATCTGATAATCAGGGCTGTGAATTTAATGCATTTGCATGTTTTTTTTTGCTACACTTTATAAAAAAAAGGATTCGGCCAAAATTTGTTTTGACTTATTTGTAGTTCAAATACCAAATTTTCTTTGCATATTTCATGGGTTAGGGCATATAAATGCATGTTTTAATAATTTTTTTGTTTAAATGCTTTTTTTYGTAATATTTACATTTTTTCGGTCAATCTTATTGTATAAACTATAACTTTTATAGTTTTATCGAGATTATTCTATTTTTACTCGGGTAATTAACGTGTAATATAATTGAATATTGTGCTATTGAAGTCGAGATTAAATTAATTTACTGATATCAACTCGACGAAGACCAAGACAAGATCAATAACTCATATACTCATACCAAGAAGTAAAAATACTAATATTTAAACTAAAATTAATAAAAAAATTATACTAATGAAAAAAATAAAAATAAAAGTTTAATTTTTGTAGTTTTTTTTTGCATATTTTAAGAATTTTTAGAGCACATTTTGTCAGATTTTAGTGCATATATGCRTGTATATTTAATAGTTTTTAAGTGCATTAAATTCACAGCCCTGCTGATAATATAATAATTATATAGTTATATCTGAAATCGGAAAGACTATTAAAAAGTGAGAAAATATCAATTCGTGGTTGTGGCAAGGGGCCATAGGGTCGTAGAGGGCTCAAATGAGTGTCGAGTGATGCGTAAGTAGGAGAAAACCTTTTTTTTTTCATGACTGTGTGCGTACAATAATTATGGCGCGTCGATAATAATATTGTACAGACCGCGCGCGTGGTCGGATCTTCGGCGGCGGGGGAAACGAGGAAAAAACCGTTGCGGGCGCCAGCAGCTGTGCAACGATCCCCCCACCGCCGCTGACACCTCCACCACCACCGTTATTACCACCACCACAAGTTACCGACAACACCGACACCGCGTGGTTCGCGGCGGACGTTCTAGAAAGGACCGGCGCGAGGCCCGCGTTAGCAACCGCTCCACGGGGCACTCAGACCAGTCGCGGCGGCCATTTGCGGATGCGTAGTCGGCGGTACCGGTTGTAAGTGTCGTAAGTGTCGTGTTTGTGTGTGCGTGCGTGTGCAGTCCTCACCGAGTGCGACGCGGATATTCGTAATAATATTATCATTAATTTTTTTGTGTTGATAAACGATAATATTATCCTTAGTTTTTGATAACGCGGAAGATTTTTGATTTTATCACTCAGATTATTTGTTAAACTCGTCAATACCGCCCGTTTTTCGCATCCGTGCAGATTACTATTACACGATCGTCGGCCGACAGCAATAAATATCCGTTCGTTGTATCGTTATCGTTGCTGTCGTGTTCATAGGTGTATATTATGCGATTCCTGAAACTTATATTTTTATTAAAATTAATAACGGAAAATAAAATTTACTGTAACGTTTGATTATCCGCTCCGATTTGCGGCAGGTGTTAACATATATTTTTTTTTGTTTTCGGTCGAAAAGCCGCTTGGATCGTAATATTTTTTGTGCGACATATTTCTTTTAAAAATTTTTTAATTTTAATTTACCTCACGGGTGGCGTCACCCGTACACGCATTGTGCGCGTTTCCCAAAACCGCGCGTCGGCATGAAGGAGGTGGTGTCCGTTAACCCGTCGCCGCCGCCGCCGCCGCAGCTGATAAGGGCCAAACAACCCGGATACTTGGACCTGACAGCGGAACAGATAGACCGACTGATTAGTAAAGATCCCATTGAAAAGGATTACGACGTAGAATCTGAACCGTTTGCGAGGTAAGATTTGAATTATAATTTATAATTATCGATATTTAATATTATTGTTTATTATCCACCAAACATTTAGTTGCTGACATTTTTTAAAGTCGCAAAAAACCTGTATTAAAAGAAACAACAATTTAAACTAGAAATTTGTTAGGCTAAACCCGTGGATGCGAAAAAAAACGCATATTTCACCATATTATTTACATGCTTCATTATCCTTGTGTTTGAATGTGTGATAATTTTAAACCGGTTCAGCCTATCGAATTTCTAGAATGACAATTGTTAGCCCGTTTTATCTGTGTATCGTGTATTGTATAGTATTATAGATAGCACCAACTAGAAATCCTACGGCTAATATTTACCATATTGATTATTATATAGGCTTTCTAGTAGGTATCTATCTTTCGACTGGGTGTTAATTTTTGCACACGTGCGCGTCACTACACGTACTAAATATACTATTGTTTCTAGCGACTTTGAATAATTTATGATACGAGTAGATATTTTTAACGTAAAACAGACCAGTATATACATGTTATAATATTTTATCTGTAAATGTTACGCCGTGTGCCATAGTATGGGGTACTTTTTCAATGATATAAYACTTATAATATGCATAACATTATAGCCTTGAATGTAACGTTTCTTTTGTGAGATTAATGCGAATTTTTATTATTATTTTTTTTTACTATTCTAATATCGCGTGAGTGGATTCGAAACACACGCATAAACTACACCTTGTACGTTTCAGCAGTTCTGTACACGTTTGTAATAAAATTGATGAGGTTTAACCCATTCATTCTGCTGTACCGTATACCTACTGCAACGCTACAACTGCTGTTGTACGTTATGCTTATGACTCATGCCGCTTTACTCACACACTGGTCCGGCAGGTACAGTGCGGCGGCGTGTCTTTATCGCGTTTGGGATAATATAATAAAGTGTAGGTATTACTACTAAACCATAAGTGTTATTTATGTAGGAGGGGAGAAAAAACGGTTATTCTGACAACAAAACATTACCTATTTTTATTGCTGTATGTGTTCACCACCTACGCGTCTTGGGGGTGGTTAATTAAAATCTACAGTATTCCAATTTCAAGAAGATTTGTTAATATTTATTTAAAATACAGTTAAATAGTTTTTGAATTGAATTTCTGTTAAACTTGTTTGTTTTTTTCATTGCATACGTATGTTGTGTGTGTATATCGAGCAGCCCCTATAGTTGGTACTCGTAAATCTTCTTTGGAATTTCTATATAACCACCATTACAAAAAAAAAAAAAAATAATAAAAGGGTGGGCGGCCGACACATGATTGTGAAAGTTAGTAAATATTATTATTATGATACATAATATAGGATTTCGACTTATAAGAATTAAAAATCTGTTAGGGACTCAGATTCCTAATTGTTGCTTGTGAGTGGTTTGTGACTTTATGAGAAGTACCTATATAGCTTTAGTAAGTGCAAAAATTAACTGTAAAGCAGGTATGCTCATATAATATATATATAATATTTTTCATATTATGAAGTAAATACAGTATTTCGTTTTTATTATAATATAGTTATAAATTGCGTATTTTTTATTAAGAAATTTGAATTAGAGTTCTAACCGAGGTCCGAATTTCTAATAAATAAAACCGAAATTACTATAGTGAGGGGTGGTGGGGAAATTGCCTCTTACCCTGAATAAATTTCTAGCTTTTGTAGTCTTCCTTGGCTTTAATAGCCATATTCTTTTTTGTTTTACTGGGTTGACATAAATGTATAATTTACAGTACCTAAAATAAAATCAGAAATATTAATCGTATTAGGTACCTTATCTATGTAATAATAAGCATAACATGCATATTGTATAATCATAGTTTTTGAGTATTGTGTGTTCTGTAATTTTAAGAACAATAAAACAATTAGTATTTTATTAAGTGATTATTTTGTTTGATATTAACATAATAAACGTATTTGTTTAAGCGTTATGACTTTTAGTTTAAATTTGTTTTAATAGATTCATTGTTCTGTTTAAACCAGGGGTTATATTATATCATCACGATTTTGAAATTTTTTTGGATACCATATATTTTAATTATATTTTAATAAATTCTACATTTGATGTATTTACTTGAATTTTCAGTTATTTACTTTGCGTAACATATTCTATACTTTTAATATCATAGGCACCTATTAAAAAAAAAAAATTAATTAATTGTTCGTGTTTACTATATAACTAAGTCTTAAAGGTAATGTAACATACACGAGTGTTCATATTTTAAAAATGATACGTTGGTGTCTAAAAGTMACGTATATATTCACGTATATATAAATAGATAGGYAATATATGTTTTTATTTAATTATCAAATTTTATATATTTATGTTTTGACCTCTGTATATAATTATTAATATTATGTATAGTATCTATATGTCATTTTGATAAATTCCTAAATACCACTTGAAAAACTTTTTAATTTGATTGCTAGTATATAAAATGCTATGTAAAATGTTTTCTATTTCATGAYCAATCATTTCGTATATAATATACTTAAATTTAATTAGCTTATAGCATTRAAATTAACTATTGACTGATACTGATTATAAACTGCGCTATTACCCAAGGATACACGTTGTAACTATATGTATTATCTCGTGTATTATAGTTATTGGTTTTGTTTTTAAATAATTCTACTCGCCTTCTAGTTGGAACTAGTAAAGTGCTGTAAAATCGACTTATTAGTGGGTAATTTTCGTTATTTACACTGGAATAAAAATAAGTATAGGTTAAGTTATTATAGTTTCTTTGCATAGACCATCTTAGTARCATTATTTTAATTCATATCCCTACCTATAGATTATAGATATCTATGTTTATTTCTACTGGAATGATATTATTTAAGATAAGATTATACTCCGCTTCTGCCTCTACCTATACAAACCCGAAGACCACAACCAACTCTATACTCRTTGTTTGTAAAAACCTATAACGATTTTACATATTATATGCCAACAACCAATATTCGTGATCTCAAAACACTCATTTTCACTCCGTATGAGCCACTATGTCGACATTATATTCTTTAGATACCACACAAGTAGACGTGTATTATTTTTATAATTTTATTTTTTTTTAACATAAATGGTATTGATTTGTTTTGTGCGGCGTGCATCTCACGTCGCATTGTGTCCGTCCTTGGCAAGGTCGCTGCTGTGCACACTCGAGTTGTATGACACCCCAGCGCGGGCGCCCTCCGCCATCGACGCCGTTCGATCCCCCCGACAGACGCCGCCCTAGAAGCCATAGCATATTATTTCCCATTATTTCCCATTTATTCCCATTGCATATTATTCTCTGCGAACTCTCCGTGTCACCGTCGGTGGGAGAGATAATATGTAAGATGGAATACCATCCGTCGTCGTGAGTATAATATATTTGTGCGTGTCTGCTTGTATATTAATACTATGTGTGTGAACGTTTATGCTTGTGTGTGCATGTTTCCTACGCGCAAATCGACTTAGCAGCACGAGGAATGCGGTCCGTTCAGTGAAAGCACACGCGCAGCGCGTATACGTATATTATTATTATATGCATTGTGGAGACAAAAAAAATCGAAGAAAAAAACTGGATGGTATAACGACTTCGTTTCACCGTCGTCGAGCCATCCTCTTATTACAGCTCTTCGAATCCTTCCTTAGGCATTCGCGAATTATTATAAGTATTTTTCTTGGTACTTATTTTTAGTATGTATCTATGAACATAGGTTGGTACATCAATTTTGGTCAACTTATTAGTTTTTCGTCCCAAATCTTCATGGCGCCATTCAAAACAATAGGCGTTAAGGATTTATTTTTAACTACGAAYCATGAGTTTTACAAGTTCTGTGGGTAGATCTACTATATTCACCTGAAATATGTGAATCGAAGTGTTACTTATTAGTTATTACTATGTCTGCTGAAATCATTGCAGTTATATTGCAGCGATAATCTGACACTAGACTCTGCGAGCCACGYGCGTTAATAGGTTCCCAATCAAACGCTGTGGGTCACATTAAACAATTAATTAGTTGCCTTATAACACGACAGTATTGTATTTGTATAAAATGTACCTATAGCGCGTAGTTGGTATTATATAATATGTACGCGTACATTATTATGTTTATTATTTGGTTTCAGCGTTGCATAATTCTCGACATAATGTGATCCATCGCGTTTTTTGGAAGATTCCCAAGTTTAATCGTGTCTTCAATTAAATAAAAACGTCACACTGCCTCCACTGAAATTGACAACATTGAAATCAGCGTAACTTTCTAAATTCTCTTTCGACCGTATTTTATTTTATTTTTCTCAATTTCCATATGTTAACGAAATATGTGGCAAGGTCTCTTTTTTATTGATTTTATGAATTAAATTCAAATTCAAAATGTTTTCAAATTATATTTTGTGGTATAGGTACCCATAGTTGTTTCAATTAAAAATTGAGTCATTTAAGAAACGATATATATTTTTCTTCATTTATTTATATGAAYACTAGATACATGACGTTATAATGCCCACRATTTTCTTTCTAAGAGTTAAGTCTAGGAGTTTAATTTACATTAAAAAGCGAAATATGGAAAAAGAAAATTATTCAATCGTAAATACAATATAGATACATAATATGTCGTTGGTTTTCTTCATGGCCCAGTATGCATCAATGTACGGAACCCAAACACTATGTTTAGTTAAACTTGAATAAGTCTTGATGTATGCTAATTAGTTTAATTATTATCGTCACATAAATTAAAAATACTTATATAGGTAATATAGTTCTGACGGTAGGCGGAAAAAAAGTAAAAAAAAAACCCAACGGAAAAAAAGCCTTGAAATATAAGTAAAACTTATACACCGTTTTACCATTTTATCCTTACAACTTTTTAAGTTTTTACTTTTTTGAATGACAACATAGAGTTTTAATTTCATATTATAATTAGGGCTAGTAGTTAAGGAGTTTATACTTATACCTAGTACTTAAAGTTTAGACGATC